AAACAAAGCAGATGACAATAAAACCGATCACCCAAAACGCATCACGGCAACGGCCATGGGAACCCGATGCACGTGAGTCCCGTGCAAATTGAAATGCACATGCGTTCCCCCATTTCTTGCCCTATAAAAATCCACCCAGATCAAATAACATTCATTCGTTATTGAATTGCTACCACATGCCAAGATTAACAAGAAATCAGCGACACCAAGCCCTTGGACGATTGCAAGCTGGACAAACCGCCCGGCAAGTAGCCAATGCAAGTCCACCTAGGGACCATATACAGGCCCCAGCAACGGTACCAGACCACCAACATTACAGATGACCGACCACATAGCGGAAGACCAAGGGTCACCACCCGACGTCAGGATCGTCAGATTGTGCGACAGCATCTTCACGACACACGAGATACTGACTTGTGATGCCATTTTCTCAGAGACTAGTGTTGTGTTTGACTTTAAGAACATTTGACACTTTAATTTCAACCTTGATGATCAGTTTTGCCAAGTTTAATCATTTTGATATGTCTCAAAGTATGTTTACAGTGTTTGGACAAATAAGGTTTCTCATATATCTATCCATGGTGACGTTTCTTTTGCGGTTCAGTATATTTAAACATAAATGATTACTTCAACACTGATTGTGATTATGTTGTACACGAGGACGTGATGTTGACGGCATGAAGCAGTCCCTCCTGGGTGTGTTGGTCGTCATGGTCAACGCCTCTAGATGAATGCTGGGAAATTGTCTTGCAGGTGAATAATATATTTCTGTGAAGTGACCTTGACTTTCGATTTTCCTTCTGGAACTCGTCTGTGATATTGTAATGATTCATGAGTGCCAGTTATTTGTGTTATAGCCTCTAGGTTGTGTCACATAATGATTGTGATCGGACACAACCTTGTATTTTATTTAAAGGTTTTAGTAAGGTGTAGTAAGGTTACAGTATGGTTACAGTATGGTTACAGTATGGTTACAGTAAGGTTACAGTAAGGTTACAGTATGGTTACAGTAACGTTACAGTAAGGTTACAGTAAGGTTACAGTATGGTTACAGTAAGGTTACAGTATGGTTACAGTAAGGTTACAGTATGGTTACAGTAAGGTTACAGTGAGGTTACAGTAAGGTTACAGTATGGTTACAGTATGGTTACAGTAAGGTTACAGTAAGGTTACAGTAAGGTTACAGTAAGGTTACAGTAAGGTTACAGTATGGTTACAGTATGGTTACAGTGAGGTTACAGTAAGGTTACAGTATGGTTACAGTAAGGTAACAGTATGGTTACAGTAAGGTAGCGTTTGAGAATGTCGGTAAAATAATAACTTAATAACTTGGTGTGTGACAATGTTTGTATGCTTTGTATATACTTTGGGGTTAAGACATCTAGACAAGAGTAAAGACATCTAGACAAGAGTAAAGACATCTAGACAAGAGTAAAGACATCTAGACAAGAGTAAAGACATCTAGACAAGAGTAAATATATCTAGACAAGAGTAAAGACATCTAGACAAGAGTAAATATATCTAGACAAGAGTAAAGACATCTAGACAAGAGTAAAGACATCTAGACAAGAGTAAATATATCTAGACAAGAGTAAAGACATCTAGACAAGAGTAAAGACATCTAGACAAGAGTAAAGACATCTAGACAAGAGTAAAGACATCTAGACAAGAGTAAATATATCTAGACAAGAGTAAAGACATCTAGACAAGAGTAAATATATCTAGACAAGAGTATGGACATCTAGACAAGAGTAAAGACATCTAGACAAGAGTAAAGACATCTAGACAAGAGTAAATATATCTAGACAAGAGTAAAGACATCTAGACAAGAGTAAATATATCAAGACAAGAGTAAAGACATCTAGACAAGAGTATGGACATGTGGACAACAGTAAGGACATCTAGACGAGAGTAAATATATCTAGACAAGAGTAAAGACATCTAGACAAGAGTAAAGACATCTAGACAAGAGTAAATATATCTAGACAAGAGTAAAGACATCTAGACAAGAGTAAATATATCTAGACAAGAGTAAAGACATCTAGACAAGAGTAAATATATCTGGACAAGAGTAAAGACATCTGGACAAGAGTAAATATATCTAGACAAGAGTAAATATATCGAGACATGAATAAATATATCTAGACAAGAGTAAAGACATCTAGGCAAGAGTAAATATATCTAGACAAGAGTTAAGACATCTAGACAAGAGTAAAGACATCTAGACAAGAGTAAAGACATCTAGACAAGAGTATGGACATCTAGACAAGAGTTAAGACATCTAGACAAAAGTAAAGACATCCAGACAAGAGTAAATACATCTAGACAAGAGTATGGACATCTAGACAAGAGTAAATATATCTAGACAAGAGTAAGGACATCTAGACAAGAGTAAAGACATCTAGACAAGAGTAAGGACATCTAGACAAGAGTAAAGACATCTAGACAAGAGTAAAGCCATCTAAACAAGAGTAAAGACAGCTGGATAAGAGTAAGGACATCTAGACAAGACTAACGCCATCTAGACAAGAGTAAAGACATCTAGACAAGAGTAAAGATATCTCGACAAGAGTAAAGACATGTAGACAAGAGTAAAGACATCTGGACAAGAGTAAAGCCATCTGGACAAGAGTAAAGACATCTAGACAAGAGTAAAGCCATCTGGACAACAGTAAGGACATCTAGACAAGAAGAAGGACATATAGAGAAGAGTAAAGACATCTAGACAAGAGTAAGGACATCTGGACAAGAGTAAGGACATCTGGACAACAGTAAGGACTTCTAGACAAGAGTAAGGACATCTAGACAAGAGTAAAGACAGCTGGACAACAGTAAGGACATCTGGACAACAGTAAGGACATCTAGACAAGAGTAAGGGCATCTAGACAAGAGTAAGGACATCTTGACAAGAGTAAAGACAGCTGGACAAGAGTAAAGACAGCTGGACAAGGGTAAAGACATCTAGACAAGAGTAAAGCCATCTGGACAACAGTAAGGACATCTAGACAAGAAGAAGGACATCTAGAGAAGAGTAAAGACATCTAGACAAGAGTAAGGACATCTGGACAAGAGTAAGGACATCTGGACAACAGTAAGGACTTCTAGACAAGAGTAAGGACATCTAGACAAGAGTAAAGACAGCTGGACAACAGTAAGGACATCTGGACAACAGTAAGGACATCTAGACAAGAGTAAGGGCATCTAGACAAGAGTAAGGACATCTAGACAAGAGTAAAGACAGCTGGACAAGAGTAAAGCCATCTAGGCAGGAGTAAAGACATCTAGACAAGAGTAAGGACATCTGGACAAGAGTAAGGACATCTCGACAAGAGTAAAGACAGCTGGACAAGAGTAAAGACATACTTTTGATAAAATATTCACTGGTACGATATGTTATTGATGTTCGATACAGAGAACATACTATTACTATTCTGTTGGATACAAGTATGATTGGTTTCAGTAGAGCTACATTATGTGTGTTTACATAAATCCAGCCGGAGAAATTGATCTGGTGTGACAACAAAGATAGACAAATTGGGGTAGAGATTTGGCTGTATTTATTATTGAGTACACTGGAAGAGTACCCAGCTGTTTCTATCATTGTACTTGGATTTATTTGTTGGTTGTTTTACGCCGCACTCAGCAATATTCCAGCTATATCACGGCGGTCCGTAAATAGTCGAGTCTGGACCAGACAATCCAGTGATTGACATCATGAGCATCGATCCACGCATTTGGGATATGATGACATGCATCAACCAAGTCAGCGAGTCTGTCCCAGGAACGTTTAGCGTCTAGCGCTGCTGCATTTTCTGTATGACTGTTGTAAGTGGGACATGCCAGTCAATCTATCAAAAACAAAAATAGTTGTTTTTTTTCAAAATAGGGGAGATTTATCACGTTATGAAAAAAATGGTATTATGGTGGAAATGCGTATGAAGTAGTTATTGGATACAGTTATCTTGGTTTGTATTTTAGCAATAGATTACTGAGGTCGAATGCCTTAATAATATTGCAATTCGGACAAGAAAGGTGTTCATGGTCCTGTTACTTAGAATACATTCCTTAAAACCATACTTTTACTTCAAATGTTTGGATACAAAGATAACACCAATACTTTTATACGGGGCTGGAATTCTGGGGATCAGTGACATAGAACCGAGTCTGGCAGATATTCAGTCGCTCGCTGTTTTGAAATGTGTCAAATATTGGCTGTCTCTTTATAATATGCAGGAATCTCGTTTACTCCAAATATGTCACAATATGTTGCGGTTGTACGATGAACAAGTCACTTTTTCCCGTTAGTATATATTTTATATTAATTATGATTATTCTGTTGCTTCATGTCTATATGCCAGTTGGGGAACGGCTGGCCCAGGCATGTAAGGCGCCCCGATTCGCTGTGCGGAGTTGTGTCCCTTGGGCACGCCAGAAACCTATGATTGCGGATTCGAATCCCGGTTCGCCCCGATTATGTTTATAGGTTTGACAGCACCATACCTGTACTCGTGGGTTTCAGCGAAGTGGCAAACGTCACTTCGGGCTTTCCCCCCACATTAAGCTGACACGCCGCAATATAACTGTAATGATGTTAAAAGCGGCGTTAAACCCAACTCACTCACTTTACATGCCAGTATTGTCGACTATTGCACCGGGCTGCTTCATGCTTCGCGTCTCATCTGGACGGAGTATTTTCCATCTTTCGCAAATACAGGGTCATGTTTAGTTGTGGTCAAGTCCGTTATAAATCTAAGTAGTCAAATAGTTGGTCGTGCACGTGCTCTGTGTGACTTTAAACAAGAAATCAAAACACTTAAATATATCATAAGTACATATATTTTTGTTCTAGTAATGCAATTCTTTAAACACGACTCTTCGTCTTTGGCAATGCACTGTGTTAACGCCAGTGTGCTGCACACCCTCACTCTGTTCACCGAAACCAACCTAAAACGTTCTTTATATCGCTATACATACATGATAGGAAGAGTAAACATGCTTACATATCTGGCAGTTGGGTCCGGACCAAAACTTCTCGCAGGCTGAACAAGTTCCTTCCGGGTACTTGTCACATGCTCCTGGTGATGTGCAGTGACACTGGTCGGCACCTTGGAACATAAACAATGGATGACTATCTGTGTGGTCGATGTCGGACAACAGTATCATTATGAATACGTATTTACCCTTGCTTCCTCCCAAACACCCCTCCCGTGTAGAGAACTAATGTAGAAGTATAAAGTTGTGTGATGTTTAATGTCAGCATTGTTCCATCAATAAGGCGACGGTCTGTAAACCAAATCTGGACCAGACAATCCAGTGACTGACATCATAGCCTTCACCCACGCAACAGAGATAAAATGTCATGCCGTTAACCAAGTGGGATCATGGGGATCATCCTAATCCTACCGGGTACCCACATCCCACACATAAAGGGATCATCCTAACGGATACCCACATCCCACAACTAAAGGGAACATCCTACCGGGTACCCACAGCCCACACATAAACGGATCATCCTTACGGATACCCACAGCCCACAACTAAAGGGAACATCCTACCACACATAAAGGAATGATATTACCGGGTACCCACAGTCCACACAAATGTGGATCATCCTAACCTGTAGCAACAGCACATATATAAAGGGATCATCCGAACGGGTACACATGTACCACACATAAAGGGATAATCCTGACTGGCACCCACAGTCAGCTCATATGAGGATCACCCTCCCGAGTACCCACATCTCACACATATGGGGATCAGTTGTAGTCTAACGGGATGTATACAATAATCTCATAGTATGATGGCTATTACACTTATGTTATAGTCTGAAGGGATATATACACTAACCTGATAGTCTGAAGGGATATATGCACTAACCTAATAGTCTGAAGGGATATATATTCAATTCAATTCAATTCAATTCTTTATTGTATGAAAGGCCACAGGCCCATATACAACGGAGTTACATAACATATTTTATAAAATACAAAGTCAAGGTAACAATTCACTTCGTAACAAAAAAGCATTATGTATGTACAAAGCCAGTTGATGTTGTGTTATAAGATCCTTGCAAGACAGTAATGAAGACAATCTTTTAGCATTAAAATGAGATAGTGACCACTGCGGTAAGTACTTGTCTCTTAGATTTTCGTATATAGGGCAAATAAACATGAAATGGTATTCATCTTCGACAACAATGTCACAAAATGGGCATAATCGTATCGATTTCTCAATAGATGAAAATCTCCCTGTGTTAATTTTTAGATCATTCAGGCCAAGTCTAAAACGAATAAGGGTGTTACGAGAATTCCTGTACCGTAAATTTGATAAAGAGGATTCTGGTTCAAGCAATGACTTGAATTGGCGATAAGTATCATATCTTGAACTTTCATAAATATCTGAATGCCATTTCTGATGAAACATGTCAATGGCACGCATGCGAAAGTACTTAATGAAAACATTTGCATTACCAATTGTCTGGGACAGCCAAATGAAACCAAAACCATATGTAAAAAGCAATGCACGAATACAAGAAGCCCATGTGTTCTTTCCAAGACTATCGAGGTGTACGAGCATGCTGTAGGCTTTCTTGGGTAAACGGTGTTCATGCATTATTATTATTTTACACCAATACTTCAAACAACGAGTGTAAGATCCAATGTACAATGGGAATCTCCAGCATTCTCCATAAACCTTGTTACTTGGTGTTGACATACCAACATTCAAAAACTTTTTACAAGCGAGGAGATGAACCTTTTCAATTGTATAGAGCTCTTTACAACCCCATATCTCAGACCCGTATAGAAAAATAGATTGTATTTGAGAATCAAATAATTTAAAATACATTTTTGGTGAAATAACTCCGAGCTTAGACATAACAAAGTGGACTTGTAACAGAGCTTTCTTTGCTCTGTTTGTGAGATTAATTACTGACTTATTCAGATTCAGTGTATGGGTAAACAATATGCCAAGGTATTTGTATTCATGCACAACATTAATACATGTACCTTTAAAAAACCCTTTCTCTCTTGTGGCCACTCGACCACCTCTACGAAATATAACAATATTTGTTTTATCAAGATTAACACTAAGTTTCCATTTATCTGAATATTCCGAAAGTATGTTAAGCTGCTTCTGTAGACCAATAATAGTACTAGACATCAGAATCACATCATCTGCAAAAAGTAGCATGAAAAGTTCTATTATATCAGGGGAGAGCTGGACGCCATGTCTACCAGACTGTATGATATCAACATATAACTCATTTATAAAAAATGAGAAAAGTATAGGACTTAAAACACATCCTTGACGTAAACCTATCGGACAATCAAAAAAGTCACTCTTAATATCACCACAGCGAACACATGATTTTACATTTGCATACATTGATTTAATAATGACAAGCATTTTGCCTCCTAAACCCTTATTTTTCAAACACCTCCACAAATAAGCTCAATTTACAGAATCAAATGCCTTTTTAAAATCAACAAAGGCCACATACAACTTACGTTTCGTGTACGATAAATATTTCTCAATAACTGCATACAAAGTAAATATGTGGTCAAAAGTCGAATAGTCCTTTCTAAATCCCGCTTGTGTTTCAGGGATCAAATCTCTCATATTTGACCACTGTGTTAATCTATTATTGATGATAGATGTAAATGCTTTACTAAGGATACTCGTGAGAAATATACCCCGATAATTGTCAGGATTGTTTACGTTTCCATTCTTGAATAACGGAATAATAATAGATTTTGACCAGATAGAAGGAAAAATACCTGTATCAAAAATTCGATTGAAACATTTAACCAGAAAAGCCATAGTATCAGGTAGTGAGTACTTGAGCATTTCAGCTATAACACAATCAATCCCAGCAGATTTACCTGTTTTAAGGTGAGATTTAGCATTAAATATTTCCGTTTCCGTGATAGGCGATTCCAACAGAAGCATGTCAACATCACTAAGAATTTCACTGACGCCATCATCATCACGTTCAAAGCACTCATTGTCTACCAAATATATCGAATAATCTTTTGAGAATAACTTCTTGAAATGATGTAACCATTCTGTTTGGGATATAGATCCTTTGGGGGTAGGATGTCTCTGAAGAGAACGTATAGTATTCCAAAATAATTTCGGACTGTGTAAAGTGCTGTTTAGTCGGACTAGCCGTGACAATTTAAGATCATATTTTAACTTTCTACAAAAGGTTTTATACACATTTCCCAGTTTACAGTAGCGTTGTCGGTTGTATTCACTGCGACAACACCTATACCTTCTGAAAGCCTTCCTGGATTCAGATCTTGCTGCCCTACATGCTATATTCAACTTTGGTTTATCGTGTTTATTTTCACCATATTTGATCTGTTTCCTCATACAGGACGCCGAGTCTAGAACATACTGTACCATATATACACTAACCTAATAGTCCGAAGGGATATATACACTAACCTGATAGTCTGGAGGGATATATGCACAAACCTAATAGTCTGAAGGGATATATACACTAACCTAATAGTCCGAAGGGATATATACACTAACCTAATAGTCTGAAGGGATATATACACTAACACGATAGTCTGGAGGGATATATACACTAACCTAATAGTCTGAAGGGATATATACACTAACATGGTAGTCTGAAGGGATATATACACTAACCTAATAGTCCGAAGGGATATATACACTAACCTAATAGTCTGAAGGGATATATACACTAACACGATAGTCTGGAGGGATATATACACTAACCTAATAGTCTGAAGGGATATATACACTAACATGGTAGTCTGAAGGGATATATACACTAACCTAATAGTCCGAAGGGATATATACACTAACCTGATAGTCTGGAGGGATATATGCACAAACCTAATAGTCTGAAGGGATATATACACTAACCTAATAGTCCGAAGGGATATATACACTAACACGATAGTCTGGAGGGATATATACACTAACCTAATAGTCTGAAGGGATATATACACTAACATGGTAGTCTGAAGGGATATATACACTAACCTAATAGTCCGAAGGGATATATACACTAACCTAATAGTCTGAAGGGATATATACACTAACACGATAGTCTGGAGGGATATATACACTAACCTAATAGTCTGAAGGGATATATACACTAACATGGTAGTCTGAAGGGATATATACACTAACCTAATAGTCCGAAGGGATATATACACTAACCTAATAGTCTGAAGGGATATATACACTAACATGATAGTCTGAATGGATATATACACTAACCTAATAGCCTGAAGGGAGATATATACACTATCCTAATAGCCTGACGGTATATATAAACTAACCAAAGAGCCTTACGGTATATGTGCAGTTTTATTGAAAAATCTAAATTGCCCCCAAAATATTTGGTTTTGCAGATGTAGCTTAAAAATTGTGTGAGATCAAACGGAAAGACTCGCACTACTTTAGCCACTCGTGTTGATTACATACTTGATTTAAAGAGAACCTAAATTGCTGGCTACTCTACACCAAGTCTTGTGTCAGTGTGTGTGTACTTGCTGGCTACTCTACACCAAGTCTTGTGTCAGTGTGTGTGTACTTGCTGGCTACTCTACACCAAGTCTTGTGTCAGTGTGTGTGTACTTGCTGGCTACTCTACACCAAGTCTTGTGTCAGTGTGTGTGTACTTGCTGGCTACTCTACACCAAGTCTTGTGTCAGTGTGTGTGTACTTGCTGGCTACTCTACACTAAGTCTTGTGTCAGTGTGTGTGTACTTGCTGGCTACTCTACACCAAGTCTTGTGTCAGTGTGTGTGTACTTGCTGGCTACTCTACACCAAGTCTTGTGTCAGTGTGTGTGTGCTTGCTGGCTACCCTACTCCAAGTCTTGTGTCAGTGTGTGTACTTGCTGGCTACTCTACACCAAGTCTTGTGTCAGTGTGTGTGTGCTTGCTGGCTACCCTACTCCAAGTCTTGTGTCAGTGTGTGTGCTGGCTACTCTACACCAAGTCTTGTGTCAGTGTGTGTGTACTTGCTGGCTACTCTACACCAAGTCTTGTGTCAGTGTGTGTGTGCTGGCTACTCTACACCAAGTCTTGTGTCAGTGTGTGTGTGCTGGATACTC